GAACCAGGAGGTCACGGTTCGATTCCCAGTCAGGGCACATGCCCAGTGTGGGGTGTGCAGGAGGCAGCTGATCCATGATTCTCTCTCCTCATGGATGTTTCTCTCTCTCCCTCTCCCTTCCTCTCTGAAATCAATAAAAATATATTTTAAAAAATAAATAAAAGAAGCATTTCGTGTGGAAGCTACTCACTGCGGCGGGCACTGTGCGGCTTGTCCCTACAGGTGGAGGTCACACTGGACGGAACTGGGCTTCTGCGGCTGCCCGTAAGCGGAAAAGCAGAGAGAAACTTTGAACTTGGATGTTTGGAGGTTCATTTTTTTCACCACCTGGAATTGTCAGGGCCGCCCTAACGCTGGGCCCCGACATGGAACACCCCTGCCAGGGCTGACGGGTCACCTGGGGGACTTAGCTTTCTCTAAGGCAGCAGAGAGGTCGTACTTTAGTGTCATGTTTTTGTGCTGTGTTTTTGTTTCCATATATTTTTATTGACTTCAGAGAGGAAGGAAGAGGGAAAGAGAGAGTTAGAAACATCAATGATGATAGAAATGAGCTGCCTCCTGCACGCCCCACCCTGGGGATCGAGCCCACAACCCGGGCATGTACCCTTGACCGGAATCGAACCCGGGACCCTTCAGTCCGCAGGCTGACACTCTATCCACTGAGCCAAACCGGCTGGGGCCAGAATCGGATTTTAAACACGTGTCCCCAAGTAACTCTTACAAGTTTAAGAACAAGCAGAAGAGGCCTGCCACAGATCTTCACAGTTCCTGTACCAGGGGTGGGGAACGTCGGGCCCGTGGGCCGAGTAAGGCCCGAGAAATCATTCGGTCTGGCCCTGCCAAGGCATTAGGGCTGAGCTAATTAAATGTTTGACCTAATAGAGCAGGCTAATTTTCAAGCTGATGATTTTGTATGGGCCTCGAATAATGTTCTAAATACCCAAATGGCCCCGGGCAGAAAAGAGGTTCCCACCCCGGCAACTGATCAGCCTCGAGGGCTAATCCTCCCCTGGGGGTTTGAACAGAAGAGCAGGACAAGCTTGGGGAAAGCAGAATGGCATCCTGTCTGGTTAGGTTTTCCGCACCCTAGAGAACTGATCAAAGAGAGGGGAAGATTTGAGTTTGGATACCTGCTGTGAAGTGGGACGCCACCAGGGGGCAGCACAGAGCTCACAAATTCTACATGTTTGGGAATATTTTTGATTTCTCATGACCACATAAAACGGTGGCACCTACATTTTTTACAAACTCTGATTACCCTCCCCCCCAATAAAAAGCACTTGAAAGGCACGTGTTAACGATGTTAGCATATGCTTCCCAGTCTTAGGGTTCTTATAGACAGAGATCATAGAAAAAAGTTCCCTAATGAACAACATAAACTGATGAACAAAAACAGTTCCAGAGCCCTGGCTGGTGTGGCTCAGTGAATAAGAGCATCGGCCTGCGGACTGAAGAGTCCCAAGTTCGGAGACCAAATAAACATCAGATGATTTCAGCACATTGTCTAGGTACATCTCGGAAAAGGTAAACAATACAGAACTTAACAAGGTGGAGGTAGGGAGGGACCTGTGGACAAAATGACCCAATCTACATAGCTGTGCACCCAGCTATATGCAAAAGAGATGTAGAAAGAAAGAACAGGTTAGTTATTTTACCCTTAAGATAGAGGGAGGCCTTACCTTGGTCTTCCTGCCACATGGAAGGGGAAATGTAATGGAAGATCCCACAGGTATTCCTATTTCAATCCACAGTAAACCTGCCTACTAGTTACAGTCCAGTTAGATTCTGACAAATGATGTCAGTAATCCCTCTCCCTGACCATGTACCTGAGAGAAATCCTGGCAGAGCCGGCTGTCATAGCCCCTCTCTAGTGATTGAACATGATTTTTTTCCCCTACAGTATGAATTCCCTCCCTCATGCTACTAAAAGACAAAGTAGGCCAAATTATAAGCAATAGAAAGATCATCAGCTAAATTCAATTGAGCGCTTATGATATTCCAAACATTTTTCTCAGCAGATAAAAATGAATTACCAATTTGATCCTCAAAACTGCTTATTGCCCTCACCCCCCTACTGTCTGTGTCCACTGGTTATGCTTATATGCATGCATACAAGTCCTTTGGCATGAGCAGGGGGGGGTGGGGGGCAGTGGAGGGATAAGGACACGTATGTGATACCTTAATCAATAAAGAAAGGGGAAAAAAAGTGCCCTTACAGTAGGTAGCATTGCATCTGAATCAAAAATTGTATCAGACGACAAAGATTCCAGGGAAACAGAAGTGGTGTTCCAAATTCTCTGTCCGCAATTTTCAAAATGCTTGTCCCACTCTTTAAAAAATATATATTTTTATTAATTTCAGAGAGAAAGGGAGAGAGGTAGAAACATCAATGATGAGAGGGAATCATTGATTGGCTGCCTCCTGCACGTTGGACCGAGCCCGAAACCCAGGAATGTGCCCCTGACCGGAATCGAACCTGGGACCCTTCCGTCCTCAGGCGGACGCTCTATCCATTGAGCCACACTGGCCAGGGCTTGTCCCACTCTCTTAACCAGCATTGTACCTGGGTGTTTTTCAATGGTTTGGATCAAATCCTCAGTGTTCTGCTCGGTGGACAATTTGGGCAAGTGATGCCAAAGCTTTTTTTTTTTTTACAATTTTTCAAGGTTGAAATGTTGCCACCACCTGTCAGAAAACAATACCTCCTTCCCCAGCACCATCTGTCCTCCCAAGTTGTCTTGGCCCACCGCCACTTTTTCCAGTCCACATTTCTTTTTTCTTTTTTTTTAAATATATATTTTTATTGATTTCAGAGAGGAAGGGAGAGGGAGAGAGAGATAGAAACCACAATGAAGAGAGAGAACCATGGACCGGCTGCCTCCTGCACACCCCACACTGGGGATCGAGCCTGCAACCCGGGCATGTGCCCTGACCAGGACTCGACCCCTGACCTCCTGGTTCATAGGTCGATGCTCAACCACTGAGCCACGCCGGCCGGGCCAGTCCACATTTCTTGTAGAAAACTAGAAAAAAATCCCTCTGGCAACCCAAGTAGCTTCTACAAATATCACCACCAAGGCCTTTTACCCAACCCTTTGAAATTCCACCATTGGATTTGCGTACGAAACATTGGAAGATGGGGAGGGTGCGGCTTATTTCTCAGCTCCGCACAGTTAGATGCCCCATGATTAGATGTGGAGACAGGTATTCCTGTGTCTAAGGAAGGTGTGACCCAAGCCTGAGTTTGGAAAGCTTCCAACTCTAGTTTCCTTTAGCTGGAAAGGCTGAAGGAGCCCTGGCTGGTGTGGCTCAGTGGACAGAGCGTCGGTCTGCGGACTCAAGGGTCCCGGGTTCGATTCCGGCCAAGGGCACATGCCCAAGTTGCGGGCTCGATCCCCAGTAGGGGGCGTGCAGGAAGCAGCTGATCCCTGTTTCTTTTTTTTTTTTTAAT